GCACTCTTCATGACACGGTGTACTTTCCCTCTGTCGAGGGAGTTGGCAAAGATAAGGGCACCCCTCCATACGTCCCACCCTTCAATATCTTTCCAGAATGCGACTTGAAGAACAACATACTTCTCATCTTCGACGTTTTAAATAACATATATGATGTATACCATGGGAACATATTTCAAAATCCCAATTGGGAAGGCTCCATTGTAACACAAATTGACACAAAGCTTATCGCCTATCTCAGCGAAATGTACAAAATTGCTCATCTGTACAAAATGTATCATTGCTGCATGCGGATTTTGCTACTCTGTCTCATTTTTACTTCCAGGTTTTGGCTAATTTATGTATTTAACGAGAAGCATACATGTAGGCGGCAGGGAGGTAGTTATCATCCCTCTGGGGGGCATAGCGAATATGATCAACCTGAGAATAGGGGAAAACGAAAGGTTGGGCGTAAACAAAACGAGAGGAGCGTAGACAAGGATACAGTCGTTCCAAGTCGTACAAACCTCGGACGTGGGCCGGGCAGGAGGGGAAAACCCAAAGACGGTGCTTATGACTCAAATGAAGAAATGAGAGGAAGCTCCAAACGAAGGACAGCATATATACTAACCGGAATTTATAACAAAATAGTGTCTCAAAGGAACGAAGATAAGACGAAAGAGACATATAATGATTTGCACAACTATATGCAGATGCTAATAGTTTGTACTTCGATTTTTTATCTCTCATTTTTATGTATAGAAAAGATACAGACAAATTTGCAAAATGCTTTTTTTCTTAACTGCGCTAATAGCTTGTATAATTTCTACGTCGATTTTTATGAGCACATTGAGAAATTTTGCAAGGAGCACCACGCGGATAAGCACTACCAGGATGAGCTATACGCGTCCTCCTTCTTCTTCGATACTTTCCACTTAGACCTAATAAACCTGAAACTCCAGGCTCACGTAAAAGCAGGAAGGTACAAGACCGAAGTGAGAAAAATGAAGAAAGCGTTAGGCGAATCGACCGCAAGGGTGGGCACAGAGCCCCAAGGTGGGGTCACTACTATGCCACGCAGCGAGCATAGCGGAGAAAGCAGCAACAACAGCCGAAGCAGCAGAAGGTACAGACGCCGCTGGGATAACGCGCAGGTAGACCTATTCTCCAAATTTCCATATCTGCTTTACTATAACGAACGCGCGGCCACGGAATGCATATCCAACTTAAGGAGGACGGAGAAGAAACACCAAAGCGATGGTAAAAACTTTTTCAAAAATAACATCTGCCTATATTTTAATATGATAAGATATTTGTACAAAAAGAGGAGCAAGTACATCGGTTTGCTGCCTTTTGTCAATTCTTACATTATCTCGATAATAACGCTCATGAAATTTACGATGGCCAAGTATTTTTCCAATTTTAATGTATCTTCCGATTTCTTTTCTCTAAAATTTGAACATCCAATACACCAGTTCGACATGGACATGCTCACAAAAGCAAAAAAGACGGAAGACGAAAAGGAAAATGTCAAGTTAACTAACAAGACTATTTTGATGAACCTGGAAAATCTCTTCTGTAATATGTTCTTGAATAAGGACGTGTGTTACCAAATAAAATTCGTTTATACCTACTACAAAAAAATTTCCAGCATTATGTTCAAAATGAATAATTTTTTACTCAGTTACTATTATTTGAAGAAAAACATACTGTTCATATGCGATTTGGTTTACTTCCCTGAAGTCGTTCATAACTATTTGCTCCTGATGAATATCATTTTAAAAAGTGGAAAACAGAGAATCGAGTTGCTAACCCAAGAGGAGATCTTCTTCGAAAATTTAAACAACCAATTGAGTATTTACGATAAAAAAAATTTGGACCAAGACACAGACACGAATTATGCAAAGGATAAAACAGTCAAAGATGTGAAAGATTTTAAAATTTATGAAGACAACGATTTTTGCAATATCGATTATGTAAAAACGCCGCTTAATACTTACTTAACTAAGAGGCATATTTATGAGTACAGAAATTTGTTGACTCAGTTTTTGGCCTACTTAACCTTTTTGATAAAAAATCCTGACCATTTTCGTATATTGTCGACGAAGCGTACAAAGGAGATACTCCACATGTTGTGCCTAATCCTTTTTACGAAGAAGAAAACGAACTACTTTTCCTGCAGCAAGGCCCGTCCGAAAAAATCAAAGGAGGTGACTACCTCTCCAGAGGGGGGTACTAACGGCAAAGACAGCTATTGCAACCATGGCAATGTGCAACTATCAGGGGAAGATTCCACAAATCAGACGAACAAAGAAAGGAGCCATCACGAAATGGTCACACCCAAGAATGATACGAAACAGAATGAAGGAAACCACAAAATAAAAACTTTTGAAAAAAACTTTTTAACATGCTTCAACAACTGTAACGAAAAAAAAGAAGAAACGTTTTTTATCTTCTTCCTCGAAAAATTATTTATCGTAAGTAACTTCGACACAGACCTATTCGACGTCGAGCTAAACGATGAAGAGCAAGTTGAGTCTCTCATAAAATCTCAAGTGTTACGTGATGTAAGGAATCTTAATTTTGTCTATCCAGGAGGTGCCGACTTGGACGAGAGTTTCCTAAACCTGGGGAGTGAAATTTCGAGTGAGCAAGAAAGGGCATCCAAAAACACCAAAGGGGACACAAATGAGGGCAACTGCATAGAGGAAACAATTCATCATTGGTGCCACCTAAACGCTGCTTCCCACCACTCATTCAAGATTAACGACATTTCAGTTTTGAATTACCTATATTTAAATTACAACTTTGAGCGAAATTTAACCTACACGGAAAATTACATTATTAACAGGTTTTTCACACTTAATTGCAAAAAAATGAATGCTTATTTTGTGAAAATATTGCTATACTACATCAACTTGATATTTTTAAAAATAAAGAATATTTTCTGCGATGACTGCATTTACACCATCAAAAAGCAGCAGTTCCTTAACTCCTCAGCGAATGATTGCTCTAGGAACATTTTTTTTTCCTTGTTTCTAAAACTTTTTCGTTTTTTCAATTTTTCCAAGCGAACTTTGAGTGAGTTTTGCGTCAATTATTTCCCCGGAAATAAAAATTATGCCGCATACCTAGACCAACTATCTGAGAGAAAGAGAAATGGAGACCTCTCAACAGCGCAGGTCTACGGAAATGATGGAAGTTACGTCACCGAAGACACACACACATATAATGTGGAGGACAAACAAAACAGCTTTGATGATAATCCAGCAAATGAACTAGACAAAATGTTGATGGTTAATTTTTTTGAAATTTTTTTATACCCACAGAAAAATTGCAGCTTTTTGGAGGTCCTAACTGTGTGCTATGAATTCTTGACAAACATGAAAGACGATAAATGGAAAAAACTGAGGAAAAGAAATAAATACAAAATGTACGCACTCTTAAATACGGCGGTTACCGAAAGGGGGGATCGAAATAATCCATCTGTTTTTCATTTCCAAACTGTCTTTGTGCTCCTATCCTTGCTGCTGCACTACACGTGCAAAAGCTCGCTGGTGCATGAAATGAGAAAAGTCGCCCAGTTCTTCCTAGATTTTGTGTTTTTTTTTATAGAGAACATAAAGAACAATTTGATTATACTGCAGATAATTGAGACCTACGGAGGGGGGCACATAGATGGACGCACAGATAGGCATCCAACTGCGAGGCAGACCCAAGTCAACCTACTAAAATTCTATTTCCGAAAACTGCTGTCCTTGCTATACCTCTACACAGACGAGCTGATATTGTACACCATCAAAAATAATATGGACCAGGAAATCAGCCAAAAAAATTACTACAGGAAGCATGCCCACGAAAATTTAAATATAAAAACGATTATTAATTACGAATACATAGGTCAACCGAACTTGAGCGAATTTTGCTTCTACTGGGATTACGCAATAGTGTCGATGAGCCACGACAAGAGTGACCTGTACATTTCTCGCTGCTTTAAAAACTTCTTGTTTGTGCTAATTCGAATCATTAAGGAGAAGGCAATAGGCGAGGAAATAGCCGAGGAGGCACATAATGTGGGTCGATTCAGTAGGGAAAATAGGGCTGCCACCAAGGAGAGGGGAAATTCTCGAGACACTACTAAAAAAGGGAAAAATTCCCATATTGAGGGAGATACAGAATGTTTCAATCTTTACGGAAAAATAAATAACCTTTTTAGCGTACTAAATGATGAAGCTTTATGCGAGCGATTACTCATTCAGGGGGGAAATTTCCCCTTAAGCGATAACACAATAATGGGACAGGTAAATGAAAATATAAACGATTGCACAGATGATGCACACGAAGTGTACGCCGTGAAGAAAGGCAATTTGGGGAACAATTCGGATGAATACAATGGAGCATCTCCCAGAACTCCCATCCTATGTAGTACCATCGAATGGGCAAGTAAACACTCCCGGGATGACGCCATTATCCGTGAAAGTGGCACGCGTGGCAAAGATGAGAATAGCAATGTAGCAATCCACGCGGGGAAATATTTTGAGAATGATAAAATGGGACATGAGCAGTTATACAAGCATCACACGGTAAATATTTTTTTCACATCCATGGAAAGAAGAGGAATGGAGATAAGTGACGAGCTTGGCGAATCGAATAAGACAAGGAAAGGTAAGAGTACCGATTCCTCTGCATCACTCTTGCCGAAGGAGAAACACCAGCTGGCAAAGGCTATCCAACTTGTTCGGTTCCTTTCGCGCTTGTACAAAGAGGCCGATAGCTGCATTGAGAGCAAAACCGGTGAATATTTCCACGTAGAAAAAATACATCTAAATATCGAAAGGTTCCCAGTTAGGGAGAAATGGAATTACATAAAGAAATTAGAAAAAATACTAAAGCAATATCAACATATGATAAAAATAATGTGCGAAATTTTACACGAATCAAAGAACGTGGATAGGAATAGAAGCAATTTAAAGATGTTCATAGATCTGTGGTGGAACAACAGATATAGGTTAGAGCAGCATTTAAAGATACTGAACTTAGACATCTCTAACACCCTCGGGTTTTCCATCCACAAATTGATGTCCATTCCGTTGATTTCTTTAAATATAAGAACCAAAATAGTGCTAAACAAGAGTCTCAATAAGAAGGATGACGACCAAATGGAGTTTTCCATCCGCAAGGAAAAAGACAACACAGAGGTGAGCAGCGCATATAACACCCTGTCAATTGTTAATAACCAGAAATCTTATTTGAGTACCAATTTTGATCTATTCGTAGTGCTATACTACTATTCGAACATGCTCAACATCATAGCGTGGATTAATAAGTGGGGGAGGTACTTTGTTCCTCCCAGATACTGGGACGGTTCCCATTTTGTCAACGTCCTCCTAAACTTGACTGTTTTTTCCATCGTGATGAAGAACTGCAATGTACAAATTACGCAGACGAAGAGGAAATACTTACAGTGGGGAGACATTTCGGGTATCAACTCGCGTCGAATGAATAGAGATGAGAGCACCTTCATCGGTAGCGTAATCCGTCGAGACACTACGGATGGGGTAGACTCCTTCCCATCCCGTAATATAATCAAGCGAAGCCCTGAGAATAGGGAAGCTTCCAAAAGTTTGATCCCCATTGATAAAAAAGTCGTGACATCCTATTTGCCTTTCATTAATAAGGATATCGAAACGATTCTACTTTTGGAAGAAAGGAAAAAAAAAAACAAAAGGAGAAACACCACAGTAGGTCAACCATATTCCCTTAATGTAAACCCCCCAAATGAAGGAAAAAAGCAGACGACCCTTTCGAGTATCCCTCACTGGAGTGTAAACATTGAAGGGGGAAATAATCACAATGACGGTTACCATGCTACATATAGGAGCATGCAGAGGGAGCAACCCGAACATGTTGAGGCCATCTCAACTATGGACAAGAAGTACACAATTGTTATACCCAAAAGGGGGAGCGAATTTGCCTACCCGCACAACACCAACAGTAAGGACACTGCCAGTAGGAGCAATACCGACATTGATGAGAAAAGAGAGAGGAGAAGAACTATCAATCTAATCAGTGAACGGACAAACAATAGCGTAGATAGCAATCGTGTGGATAGCAATTGTGTAGACAGCAATCGTGTGGATAGCCGTTCGGTTTATAAAAGCGAAAAACAAAGCAGAGATCAAAGAAAGGTAAACTCAACAATATATGGATATGTGAGCCCCCTAAAAGCAAACAATTTTGAGTACATAAAGAATCAAGACCAAAGTGACATGCTCACAAAGGAGGGGAAAAAAAAAAGAACTACAGTGGCAGGGATGTTAAATTTAGATCTTCTGAACAAACAAGATGATAAAGAAGAAAAAAATAAAGAGAATAGTTATTTAAAATATCTGGATTTACAAAAAAAATGTGATAGGGGGGTACTGAAATGCTCTTTCCTGAAATTAAGGATGTACTTGTATAATATACTTATAGATATTTTCGAAAATAATCATATTCATCCCAAGAACATCTTTAACCTTTTTAACATCATCACTCATTCGTTCGTTACTGATGTGATCAAATGCACCATGGTGGATGATGAACTCGATAGTGAACGATTAACATATGTGAGAAACATAGAACATGGGAGAGTGAGGAAAAATCCTGTCATTGTCTATATACATAACAATTTAAATAGACTTCCCTTTGAAAATTTGGAGCCTTTAAAAGATTCCTACATCGTGCGGGGGGTGCACAAGGCGGTTACTGCGTATTTGTACGAAAGGATGTTGGCGAAGATTAAAGTGGAGGAAGCCAAGCGGAAGGGGCTGTCCGTTTCGAGTACACTTCAGGGGGAGATGGACGCAGTGGCAGGGGAGGAAGAAGAAGGAGAAATGGAGCCAGGGCTGGGAGCCCGTCGAAACCGTAGAAACCTCCGAAACGATGACGAATCGGACAACTATGACGACCAAAGTGACGACTTTTGCCTGGACGAGTACATAAAGCAGGAATACTCAAAAAAGTGGAAAATTGATCATGTGAAAAATGTGTACCAAAAGAACAGTACCCATTGTATCAGCACCGATTTGCGTTGTTATGATCCCTTCGAATGGAAAAAAAAAAACGCTGACGCGCCACAAAGCATCATAGATCATTGTACCACCTCCAAAATGTGTAATACAAGAGGGGAAAATAAACACGTTTTCAAAAATAAAGGAAGAAGCTCCCTTTCGTATATATTGACGCACCAGATGGAGGTCTCCAAAAATTGTGAGAAGAATAACGATAATTACCACCATGGTCTTAAAACGTGTCAGGTAAAAGCGTTCCTTCGTTATGATGACCAGGCCAAGAGAACATCCCAAGTGGATCGATACAACACTTTGACAGCACAAACGACAGATACGCCAACTCCATATGGGCATGAAACTCTCAGCAATGCCGGACAGATTGTTGCCAATTATGGCTCAAGGATAGTACCGGCAAAGGGAAAGGGAAGATACAGCTTGTTCGTTTCGAGTGAAGAGACAAGAGGTCATCTCGAAAAGGGAGACATTACCGGTAAAGCCAATCCCTTAACAAGCGCTCCGGATAAAGGCACAAGGCAGGTGCGTAGGAAGGGGCGAGGGAAAAAAAACTCACGCAAGAGTATCTGCATTGAGCACTCCTTCCTAAACCCATTCAATAATAATAATAGTAAAAAGGGTCAAACTGGCATGCCATTTAGCGAGGACCACATTAATAGTAGAAATAGCTGCAGCCAAAATAGGGGAAGAAAAACCCTATACAATAGATCAACAGAGGAGAAAGACAAATTGGGATTATCACATTCTGCTAACAGGAGGGGTAGCGTTAAGAAAATAAACCCTCGTTCGTCATGCCCGTCCCAGTCTTCCCGCTCATCCTCTGGGTTGCCTCCTCCTCCATCCTCCGAATCAGAATCCGAATCCGTTTCGTCAGTGGAACTAATTCAAAATGAAGACGAACTGAGAAAAATATTCATGAATGCTAGGAAATCGATGAATATACACAATATGATGGGGTCTTACATAAACGAAGAATACACCTTTTTTCGTTTAAAAAAAAAAAGAAAAAAAAGTGTAAGTGAATCAGAAGCCTACTTTGATGACGGAAAAATGTTTTCAAGATCATGTGCAGAAGACGTTAAAAAGGATAATAAAAGGAGAAGCTACTCGGCCGATCCGGAGCATCATTCAAAGGTGACCAAAATGAAATACGTAAAGTACGTTCCATACTACATTAAAAGTTCCAGGTTAGTAGATCCCAAAAAGAGTAACATTTTTTTTGTGATTAACCCTAATGGGGATTTAAAAAGAACGGAAGACGCCACATACCCTTTCATTTATTTTAAAAATAAAGAAAGGTACAAGTATAAAAATTGGAATGGCTACTTTGGCAAAGTGCCATGCGAAAAAACTCTGCTGAAACATTTGTGCTGTGATGACTTGTATCTTTATTGCGGCCACCAGGGGGGAGAACAGTACATCAAAAAAGACATAATTCAAAATGCCATTCTGCGTTATGACGACGGATTGGACGAAGGCGAAAAAAGGGAAGACACCAAAGAGGGGAAACCCAAAAAAGCGCAAAATCGAGATTGCCAAATCGAAAAACGTAGTGGAATCAAGGCAGGAAATAAAGTTGATCCCATTTTTACTCATAATAAGGACAAAAAGAGAAGAAATTCCTGCAATTTTGAGGCAGAAAAACGCTTTGTGGACAAGGGGATGAAGAGAAAATCTGTTGGGGATATCTTGCACATCCATGGCACCAGTGACAGCAGCGATGCCTTATGCACACAGACAGAAATGGAAGATGACGCCAATGACGATGTTGATGATCCCCATTTTTCGGCTAACCAAAATGATGGCATAAACTCGTGCGTTTTTTTAATTGGATGCAGTTCCGGGTTGCTATCCTCACATGGTTTTGACTTGGACGTATGGGGCACCCCCTACGACTACATAGTAGGTGGGTGTGTTTTCGTTTTTGGGAATCTATGGAATGTAACAGACGGAGAAGTTGACGGATTTACACAAAACTTTTTCTGGAAATGGACACAGCCAAATTCTTCATCCCTATTTTGCTCCAACTATAATTATAACGATGTCCAAATGGCAAATGTTTCAACATTTTGCTTTCGCTTCTTCGCACAAATGTTAAGGGCGGGCTCACAAATGGATATGCGCGAAGAAGGCACAGAATCGGGCAGCATCGGCTGGAGGGATGACGATAGTGAGCATAACGGCGGCAGTGACGACCACCTAATCGAAGTGGGGGACAATTTCGTCACGGTCAATTTGGACACGTACACATACTTCAAAAAGAATTATTTTTTTTATAAATATTTCCAAAAATGCTACAATTGCAACATCGTTTTAAACCAAAACCTTTTCAGTATAAATCAGAACCGGAAATACTCCTGGCTTAGTATGACAGAGGCTTTAGCGGAGGCCAAGCAATTTTGTCGCTTACCAAACACGACGGGTTCGGCCGTTGTTATTTATGGCCTACCCTTGTAGAATCTAACGGGGAACAAATCGGTGCTTGTGAGTTTGCGCCATTTTTTTTTGTCAGACATTGCAGTTTATTTATTTTCATATATTCCAGTTTGGCTTAATGTTTTTGTAAAATTTGGAACGGAATTTTTTTTTTCTTTTTTCAATATTTGTTTTACGAGCCTAACGTGAGGGGTTCTTCACGTACGCGTCATACAGATACACATTTGGTACATGTATACTCACTGTGGATGGGATCAAGGCGTCCCCTTTTTGAGCTATCCACAAGAGCGCCTTCTCTAATTATCCCATTCCCTGGCAACTGAGCGGCAGGGAACCGTTTATGCAGTTCCTTTCGCCTCCCCATTTCTTTTTAATTCTCTTCATAATTAAGGGTGAAAGGTGAGATAACTAAAACGGTGTTTAACTATGGGAACAACCGTGCAATTTCAGGTAGGTTAATTGCACCTGTGCGGACCTTTCACAAAAGCTTTTACAACCAAACCGCTGTTATGCGGCAATGGGGGAGGGGGGAATGTGGATGAGAAACATCGTGGCGGAATGCCGCCTCAAGTGTGAACATACAAATGTCCATACGTAAATGTCCATATACAAATGGACAGGGAATGCTTAAAATGGATGGACATATGTATAAATGTGGGTAAGAACGCAATCACGCATGTGTATGTGAGACATTGTTGGGAGTGTTTGACGTTAGGAATACTCTGCCGAGAAAACGGCTGTGTATTTCATCCGTAATGCTGGAACATTTGCAAAAAAGTAAAGAGGAAAAAAAAAACATTAACAAGCTTCTTTAGCATAACGAATCTGCAGAAGTGGAAAGGCGCCATTTTGTGATTCCAAATTGAACCACTTAGCAAAATTACTGCGCTAATTTGTGGCCCGACTTGTTCATTCGCCAATTTTGCAAAAAAAAAAATAATGAATTGTTCACAAAAGAGGGAAGATATTTAAATGATTTTTGATTTTTTTTAACCCTGCAAAAATAAATAATATCGCATTATGCATAAATGGATAACCACATTGTATACACAAAAAATAATGTAGCCTTTTTCTGCGCAAAGTTCCAGTCCTCCAATGAGGTAAATTAATTAAAAAAAAAAAAAAAAGGGAGCATATTTTGTGTGGAGGGCAAAATATTTAGTAAACCCTTGCTCACTCTGCCAAAGCATTCATCGTACTTCCCTTTTCTCCTTTTACTAAACGGCCAAAATGAAGCATAAAGTTAAACGTGATATAATCAAATGCAAAAAGAAATTGGAGAACTCCATCAAAGCTTTGGAAGAAAAAATTTTAAGACTTGAAATAGAATATCACCAAAATTGTAATGTTAATGGAGGGAATTTAATGAAAGGTTGGGATAACTACTTAAGGAAGGCGTCCCTGGAACCCCTATGCTTTAAAACGTTTAGAGATGACTACAGCGATGCGTACATAGAGCGGATGCTGTCCCTAACCTCTTGTACCTCCCCCGCGGCTGCTTTCTTTCAAAGTGAGAACCAGGAGAAGGGCAAGTATATGCATTAAGATCGAGGAGTATATGAAATTTCGGCCAGCTACACAAGAGCAGTGGTGTAAAGCTTCTGCCTTCTGAAGATTGCGCCCCAATTTGGTGATCCGATAAGAGTTGCCTCGTTTATTTTACTGGAGACAGCAGAAATGTGTCCTGCGGCACCGTTACATATATCACAGAGTGAGCAAGAACAAGACATCAAAAATGCGCCATAACGGCATGTAATAGCTGAATGAAAGGGATACCCCCGCTTTGTAACCTTGACAACGGGCGAAGATCACAATTGGGAAAAACGGCGAATGTCACGATGAAACTAAATGTGTCCATAAAATGCTGTATTTAATCACTAAGTGGAGGCACACCTGTGGAGAAGCCTAAGCAGTGTGCCAGTTTGTGAATCTTACTGACGAATCATTGACAGAGTAACAAAAAAAATGACGTTTTTTTTTGAAAATAAAGTTTAAAAAGAGCAGTGATATGAGAAAATGCTCCAAGTGACAAACGGGTAAAACTACCCCATGGGAAAGGGGTGCACCATAATTGTGCAGATAGGCCTACGTGTGTGCAAGCATATATAATATATATAAAAAATATATATATGTTTTCTTTTTTTTTCCTAACTCGCGCGGTGCTCCCCCTGGGGGTGGTCCTTCCCCTGCGGAACTCCACAGAGGGAAGCGGACTGCAAAAGCTGTTCCTGTTCACGAAGTGGAATAAGCCGCGTCCTCCATTTCGTTTCGCACGTCGCATTTCATTGAACAAGTGACATACATGTCCCACTATTGACAAGCAATATTACGCTTTTTCATTTTTGTAGAATTTTTTTTTTAAACAAATTAATTTTAATTTTTTTTTGTAAAAATCTCCTTCTCCTGATAGAATGTTTTGTTCTTTTTCTCCTCGGCCCTATATACTGATTTGATATATCCTTAATTTCTGACCAGCCTTCATTCGGTAGTACCTTAAAGAAGCGCCCCTTAAAAAAGAAGGAGTTTTTTCTTCTGGTTTTCCATGGCAATTCCCAGAGGGCGTTGTTATTTTGTTCCTTGTCTACTTCTTCATAGTGCTCTCCTTGACTGGGGCACAGGGCCAACTCGTTCGAGTAGTCCTCCTCCGTTTTTACCAACGTAGTTTGTAATTTTAGGGACGATTTATTTAATTTGCTGAATCCTTTATAGAGATAAATATCGCAGTCCTCCTCCAGGGTGAAGTTGATATTTTCAGTCGTTTTCTCCTCCGTTTCGGTTTGGCATTTAATGCGATGCGTTGGGTCTCTTTCATGTTGGCTGCTACTTCTAATGGCGCTGATAACTTCTGTTTCAGCGTCATTCGTTGCGTCTTCCCTGGAAATGGGCAAATTCTCCACGTCTTTTGCGTTTGCTCCCTCCTTGAGTTGTCCCTCATTAAAAAATGCTTCATCCGGATGGCTTAACAAATTGGTGCTATTTTGTTGTAACTGCTTTTCCTTGCCCATGTTAATACGTAGGAAGTCTTCCTCCTTTTCAATAAAATGTTCAATAGGGAGCCCTGTATACTCAGCTGATAAAATAACGTCATACATTTTGGGCCTTTCGACGTGGTTTTTCCTTTTCAGGGATTTCTTTTTATCATCCGTTATGGTGACTTTTTTCGCCCTTCGGTGGTTCTCCTCCCCCGGCAAGTAGTTCATCCCCCTCGGTAGGTAATCCATTTCGCTTGCAGTCCCTTCCTGATTTAAATTAGCCCAGTGTGGCACATGTCCCCTCATTTTTAACTGTATGTACATGTCTTTTTTAGCAGAACATTCTCCCAACAATTTTATGTAAGATGAGAGATGATATGGGTGTGTCAAAATGTTGGGTATTTTTCTGATTCCCAAGTTGTTTTCATAGCGTACAAAATCGAAGAGCCTTTTTCGGAAATATTTATCATACATGCTGACAATAAAGGATCTGGAAAACGTTGCATACTTTCTTACAAAATTAACTAAAAATGGGATACTCACAGTTTCGTAGCACCTTGAGAAAAGGCCAATAATTTCCGCATTGCTGTTATGGTTAATCGTTTGGCCCAAATAATTTATCATATTTTCGTACGAAACTTGGGAGTACTTATCCCTATACATTCCTATTCTGCTTATTATCTTCAGGCACAATTCTGCACTGCAGTTTTTTACAATTTTATAGGCAAAGAGGTTATTTAAAACGTCCAGGGGAAGACTGTCAATGTCTAATATTTTTATAGTCTCCATCTGGTCATAATTTACATTTTTTGCAAACTTGTCTTTACGACGAGGGGGTTCTTGGGTACTTTGGTTATTCAAAGAATCAATTAATCTCTTGTAATGTTTTTCTTTGGTCTTTTCCTTATTAAATAAATTTGTGTCTTTGCTCAGGTGTTTGAACTTTTTTGGCAACTCTTCCGATATTTTTAATTTACACAAAATGGAGTTTCTAAATTTCATCAGATGCTTTTCATTTTTTTCAAAAAATTCTTTCATTTTTTCAACTTCCTTCTGTTCCTCTTCGTATATTTCGTCGATAAAGGAATCCACTTTGTTCTTCCCGTTCCATTCTGGAATTTTGCTACTTGGCTTAATTATCTGCAATGGGCTTTCTTCCTCCAGGTGGGCGTTCTTCGCTGTCCCGCTTTTTATTTCCTCTGAGTGCTGATGCACGTCACTAATTTTTTTCTGCTTTCCCTGAGTTACATCTTTCGCACTCATGTAGCAAATTTCGTATTTATTCACTTCCGAGGGAATCACTTCTTCGTTAACACAATTGTGGTTTTCCCTTTCATTGGGGTAACTATGGCAAGTTCCTTCAATGATTGAGCTGCTTTCCTTCTTAACGTGGGCACTTTTCCAGGACTCCTTATATACGCTATTGGCAGAGGCATGCCAAAGGTTCCCAATTAGGCTGGAGTTCAGATTGTTCGTGAACAACAGCGTGTCGATATCGTCTTCGAATTCTTCTGCGTCTTCTCCCCCCCTCAGGGGTTCATCTTCATCCGGCGGGAATTCATACTCGTCCTGTTCGCGATTAACTTGGTTCGAGTTCACATACGACTCACCACGGCCGAGGTCCTCTGCATCTCCCTCTGCCTCCTCGTCTGCTTCTTCCACATATGTGCAAGAATGTCCATCCTCAAATGTGCTATGAAATGTGTGGTCGAATTCGCCACTCCTATCTTCTACATGTTGACCATACTGCAATGTTTTTAACGTTTCTACATCATCCGTTTTTTTAGCTCCCCCGATTTCACTCCTAAAAGATGAAGCTCCGCCATGTGCCGCCTTTTTCTCAGATACCCCATCAAAGGAGTAATGACGCTTGCATATGTGGGCATTCCCCTTCCCGTGTTTAAAAAGAAAGGCTACATTAAAGTGTATATATTGCAAGAATCTCTTAAATGATAATGTATTTTTTAAGAGCATTTCAAACGGTTGGCATTTCATTCATTTTTTCACTTCCTACTTGAGGGAACAAACTGATTTGTGCGCGCGATGGAA